TTTTCCATCTTTTCTTTCCACATAGGTAGTCAATTTGATTTCTGTGTATCCCATCCAGTGAGGTTCATGTGTATAATCGTCTCCTATGCTTTCTAAAGAAGGTATTTGAAATGAAGAAATCATTGGTTTTGCAGAATTCTATCATACGATCTCTAGCATCATTTCTATCACTAAGGCCATATTTTTCAACTACTGGTCCTTCCTCTTTTCTTTCAACTTTTGCATTCCAATCACCAGTAATGATCAATACATCTCGATCACATGTTTGATGGATTCCAGATTGAAGATGTTAGGAGAATTCTTCTATTTCATCCTCACTGGCTTTAGTGTTGGATGCATAAATTTGAGTATTAACTGTACTTCCCTGTAAGTATATGGATATTATCCTATAATAAACAGAGTTGCACCTCATGACTGATCTGGATATGTTCTTTTTGACAATGAATGCAACATCATCCCTCTTCAATTTGTCATTTTCAGCATAGTAAACCATGTGGTTGTCAGATTCAAAATGGCTAATACGAGTCCATTTCAGCTCACTAATACCTAAGATATCAATATTTATGTGTTCCATTTCATTTGGCCTGTGTGTAATAGGCCATTTTAAATATAAACTTTCTATATTCATATTTTAATATTCAAAGGACAGAATCTATTTTACAGTCACCTGTACATTATCATCAGAAAAAAATAAATACTTCCTCCTGGATTTATTTTCTGGAAGTAGAAGGTTCAAGAACAGGTTTCAGGGAAAGAAAAAAATGTGATGTTAAAGATGAATGAAATTTTATGACAAAGAAGTGCATTCTTTATTGAGCAAGGTCTGCATGATGGATACAAAATGAACAGTTACAGCAAAGATGTACTCATGGCTTATATTTTTATTTTTGTGATTGGTATACATTTAACTTCATCTAAAGTTATTTCTCTTTCTTTCAGTTTTGGAGAGTAAAAATATAATGTACTCATCAAGAACATTTCAAGATAATCCTGCTACTCCCAGAATTAGCTTCTAGCTAAATGATTAGAATTTAAGACTAGACAGCTGCTTCTGATGTATGTTAATAAGCCGTGGCCCCCTATGAATTTTAGCAACTAGACTGGGAGATCTCATGACCCCTTTACCCAGTTTTCTCCAGTGATAATATCTTGCACCACCATAATAAAATGATATGTGCTGTGTTTTCTAACTCCAACTACCTAGGATGCTTTCTCTACCATGTGTGGTGTGGAAATAATCAAATCCCACCTTCAATTTAAAAGCACAGCACTCTACATTATCCCGTGTCCTCCGCAATTAGATATATAGGATCCAGACATCATATAAAAAGCAACAAACTTTTCATTCCTCCCACAACTATAGGGAATTCATTCCCCATTTGGGTTGTTCAGATCTAGAGAGACAGGTTTTTTTATTCAAGAAAAGACAAATCTCTACTTTTATGCTAAAAACCAAAGAAATGAAAAATTTAGAACAAAACAAAATACAAGTTGATTTGTGCTTGTACTTTTCCAAATTACCATAGGCTGAAACGGTTTCAAGAGAATCCATATACAAATTCCTAGTGTTTGTTTCAGATTGCATATGTAGGCTGTCACTTTTTCAAAACCCCTCCTGAGAGATTTCTGAGCTATTGGCCCGTCTACTGTGATGTCATTAACTATACAGGAGTAAGTACAGCTTAAGAAGTAAGGAGGATTTCTTATAGCTTCTAAGAAAGAGGTGTTTCTAAAATCCCTGAGACTCAAGCATTCATGCCTCTAAAATCAAATATGTGAACTCACACATAATGCAACAAGTTGTGGATCATCCAGGAAGTCAGCAAAGTGACAGAGATTGATAATCAGCTTCTGGAAGACCAAGGTCGTGAATCAACTTGCATTGAGTGAACCCTACACCCGTCTAAAACCTGTCATTGGTGATACAGAGCTGAAAGCTGTCACTGAAACTTGTTATCTGTGCAGAAGGCTGTCAAGCGTTGCAAGTCAAGTAGAAAACTGGATCAGAGAGCCCAGTAAATTGCCTCTGGCAGGCTTCTGGAATGCAGTACTGAGGTGGCACTCAACTCCAAACTCTCAATATACCTAGTGTGGCAAAGTTCCCTGTCCACCACACTTAGATTATTTAAGGAGTAATAGTGCCATCACATTCTCCAAAAGACAACCAGATGTGAAATATAAAAAAGCATCATGTGTGGGGACATTCTGCATTTTAACAATAAGCATACAATCTACACTAGGGAAGGGATGCAGACATTTGCATACGTAAGGACATGCAAGCTTTCCTCAAGCAGGTATTCAAATGGGCGAACACAGAGGATAACCTGCTGTAAGAAAGGAAGGAGACATGTTGATGGGGGACATCCAAAAAAAAACAAAACAAATAAAAACAACAAACACCCAGAAAGCCAAGAGCCATCGTGCTGAATGAGCAGAAAACAATTTTAGAAACAAGACAAGCTAACCCAAAGAAATCAAATATGAATAATCTTGGGGAATGCTGGTCTGAAGAAAGAAATTGAATGCCCAAAGTGTTGAACACACAGTCAGTGAAATCAAAAAAAATAAAAGGCAACTCTATGACCCACAACATGAATGGGACCAAAGAATCAATGGTAACATCATTTTATTCCACTATGGAAGGCTTCAAGCAACCAAAAGTCCTGAAAGGGATTATAGAATGGATTGTGGTACCCTGTTTGATTATAGGGGGTTGATTTTAAAAAACAAGAAACACTTTTTTTGGACTAGTGTATGAGGGATTGGTGATTTAAGGGTAAAATTCTTTCTTTCCACACGGAAGATCTGTGTTTGATTCCTGGCCTGTACTTCACCTGCATGGCTGCCAATCATCTGTCACTGGAAGCTCATGTATTGCTATGATGCTGAGCAGGTTTTGATAGAGATTTCAGACTAAAATGTACTAAGAAGAAAGGCCTGGTAATCTGCTTACAAAATCAGTCAATGAAAATTGTAGGAATCACTATGTTCCAATATGCAATCAATCAATCACGAGCATACGGAAACGATTCCTGCTGTTGTTCATGGGGTTGCCATGACAGTGGGGCCAATTCCATGGCAGTAACAACACCAAAAAATATAAGTAGTTAAATAATAAGACATAAAGAATATCTTTATGCACTAAAAGAGGCCCGAGCAGAACTAAAGAGAGATTTAATGGAACATGCTTGTTTTCAGATAGGATAGCGGAATAGGACTTCTCTGCTAATTACCATAGACAATCAACATGCTAAGAGTTGCCGAGTAGTGATTAACAGGAGGCAACTCTGTATATTAGCATAGCAAAAAGATGATTCTCTACATTCATAATTTTCAAAACACAAGTGGGATGGGTAAAATGAAGCGATAAGATACATTTCCATAAAAGGCGGTGCACTGTTCTTCTGTATCGTGATATAGTTCTTAAATGCTGTCAAGTCGGTTCTGACTCATAGCGACTTTTGTAGGTTTTCTGAAGAGCAGCAGGTTGGTGAACAGTGGACTTTGTGGTACGCATTCCAGTGGTGATCCTACAGGGCCACACCAGGACTCCACCATACTCGACAGCACAGGTTTCTGAAAATCTAGGTTGCACCTGGCTAACTTGGGTGGCAATACAAGGACAAACCCTTCCATCCACCAATGGCAGTAGCACTAATACAGACACGTACTGTGCAATGTGCCAGACCATCCAGTTCACTTAATGTATTGACTCATTTAGTCATATCAATCCTATGAGGATGGTACTCTCCCATAACCTACATTACATATATATTTTTACAAGGTGGCAACAACTGATTAAGTGATTTGTCCAAAGTCACAGAGTAAATAAAGAAGCTGGTTTGCAAACGAAGGGTCAATCCCCATACTATTGCTCAGCTATATATTCCTCCTAGCTACAATGCATGCTATAAGGAAAAACTATGATTAAGGTTACCAGTGTCACTTAAAAATGTTTCTTGTTGATCTAGGGGACAGTTAAAGAAAACACAGCCTACCTGTTTTCCCTGTGTTCTTCATCCAGGTTTTGTTAGAGGACTCATTGTCAAAGCCGTCGAGCTGCAGTTCCTGGTACTCATCGCCAACACGTGCATGATGGTCCAGAATGTCTATAGGAGACTGGTGACGGCCACCACAGCTGACACTGGATGTGACCCAGTGTTCAGGACCATAGGCACCTGTGGAAAAAAAAAAACACATTTCAGTTTCGATCGCTCAAGGACTAGAGAAAGAACTCGTAAGACTATGAAAGCCAAGCACTGCATCTCTCAAAGTAAGCTTTTCAACATGTGCCTACTTGGAAGAGATCAGGATATACTGAAAACTTAAGTTTCAAAAGCCATCTGCTCGATATGACAACGAAAGTTAAGAAAGGATATGTTTCTTAAGATAGTTTCGCTTCTTGATTTGCAATCAAACATTTGCTACCTTCATCTTTAATCAGATTAAAGGAATTGCCCAGAAGGGCTGTCAGAGTTATTCACATTTTTCAAAATCTTAATAAGTGTTCTAAATTAAGCAGAGCATTTATCAACAAGAAAATACCTAAACTAGTTCAGCATGTTTTGCTATTGTGAGCTGCTTCCTAAATAAAATGTTTCTTCTCAACATACAGAAGGACTTTGCAAAAAGGACAAAAGCACATATATATCTATATAGATATGTTGTTCTTGTTAAGTGCTGTCAAGTTAGTTCCAACTCATAGCAACCCTGTATATGATTTCCAAGGAGTGGCTGGTGAGTTTATGATGTCCAGCAGTTGTACTAAAACACCCAACAGGGCGATAGATAGATAGATATTTAAAACAATCCAAAATGTAGCAATGCCATTATATATCATGTAGTTATTAAGCATGTTTGTTTTCCCCCTCTGGCTGAGGATAAAAGATTTTCTACGAGGCAGAGATGGTATTCTTCAATCCTCTCCCTCTTTCCTAGAAGATGGGGGTTTGGAGGAAGGGGCATTAATATTTCTTTCAGATTGGAATCACTCAGTGTTAATAACAAAAGACTTTATTGGTACATACACCACAAAAGTAACGGGGGAAACTGAGGTCATAAAGCATAATCCTAATGAGAAGTGAGACTAGAATAATGGGAAGCAGAGAACATATTGCAACTGACTTCTCACTCGTTTTCTGTTCAGAGTCAACAACTTGGTTCCTTCTCAAAGTGATCCTTGTATAGGGTTTCCAAGGAGCGGCTTTTGAGTTTGAACCACCGACCTTACGGTTCAAACTACCTTTGCAGTCCAGTGCTTTATCTCACAGTACCACATAAGGACTCCACTCAGCAACAAAATGTAAGCGTTGATAACAAACCCTGTTTCTGCACCCTAGGTTTAACTTGCTTGGCCTGACTAATCAAGAAAAAAAGAAAAATGTTTACTTGAAAAACAACAACAACAAAGAAATAAATCCCTTTTTATGAGCTAAACCAGCAACTCTGGATTTTTTTATTTAGAAGACATCAATTACCTACGTTTATACTTTATATGAATATATATATACACACATACACACATAGAGTTGCTGTTTACTGTTAAGTGATATCGAGTCCTTTCTACTTATAGGTGACCATGTATAGTGTTTCCAAGGAGCCACTGTTGGGTTTGAAGCACCAACCTTATAGTCAAGTACGTTATCCTATACCAGCAAACCAAGATAGCAGGGTCATCACTGGTCTGTGAACCATAAGGTTGGCAGTTCAGTGTTAATCCTACAGCTCCACATGAGCAATGCCATACACACATATATACAACGCCTACTTTTTTCAGCTTTTAATTCTTTTACAGTTTAGATAGAAAGGAATGAATTGCCAAAAGGCTTTGAGGAAGCAAACTCACAAATCCACTAGTATTTTCATGCCCTTGCTATGTACTTAGCCTTGTGTGTTGTTGCTGTTGTTAAGTGTGTAGCGAGCCCAATGAAACCATGACACAAATCTCCCTGGGTCTGAAAGGAGCCCACATCTGCGTCCATTACCCCTGCCAAGCACTCTGACATCTTGTTCGCCTTTCCCTTCTTCTCATTTCCTGTCACTGGCCACAGCAGAGATCAGCAGGGGTACCATGAGAAAAAGGACAATCACACAAAATCTTCTCATGGTAACGGAAGCTTTATGGCTACAACAATAATTGATACATCTCCCTGAAGTTGATTTATACCGTGCTATCAGGTCAGACTGCAAAGTCGTTTGAACAGCAAGGTCGGTGGTTCAAACTCACCAGGTGCTCCTTGAAACCCTACACAGGGTCGCTACGGGTCAGCATCGACTCAACGACACTTAACAACAACAACAACATCTGGAAAAAGTGCAGCCAGAGTGCTCCCTGGAGGCCAAGATGAGCAAACTTCGTCAGTCATACTTTGGACTATTGTCAGGAGGAAGCAATCGCTGGACAAGGACATCATGTTTGGTAAGGTGGAGGGTCAGAGAAAAAGAAGAAGACCCCCAATGAGATGGATTGGCCAAGTGGTAGCATCAATGGACTCACGCATGGCAACAATAGTGAGATTGGCCCAGGATCAGGCATTGTTTCATTCTGCTGTGCATAAGGTCGCTGTGGGTCAGTAACGACTCGATGACACCTAACAACAACAAGGTTATTGAAAATACCATGGCTTGGGTCAGGCACACTTTAGTCCTCAAAAGGACATCTTTGCTCTTAAACACTTTAAAGGGGTCTTATGCGGAAGATTTGCTGAATACAATATGTCCTTTGATTTCTTGACTGCTGCGCTTCAATGATAGTTGATCCAAGTAAAATGAAGTCTTTAACAATTTCAATCTGTTCTCCAGTTATCTTGACATTATATATTGCTCCAGTGGTGAGAATTTTTGTTTTCTTTACATTGAAGTGCAACCCATACCAAAGGCTGTGGTCTGTACCAGTAAGTATTTAAAGTCCTCTGTATTTTCAGCAAGCAAGATTGGATCATCTGCATATAACGGGTTGTTAATGAGTCCTCTTCCAATCCTGGTATGTTTTTCTTCATATAATGAAGCTTCTCAGGTTATTTGCTAAGTATACAGACTGAATAAGTATGGTGAAAGAGTACAACCTGGCAAACAGTTTTCCTAATTTTACACCATTCAGTGGTTCTGTTTGAACAACTGCCTCTTGGTCTATGTACAGGTTTTTCAAGAGTACAATTAGGTGTCCTTGGCATACTCATTTTCCGAAATGTTGTCTGTAGATTGTCATGATCCACACAATCAAAAGCTTTGGCATAGTCAGTCAATAAAGCACAGGTACCTATCTTTCTGGTATTCTCTGCTTTCAGCCAAGGTCCATCTGACAATAGCTATGATATCTCTCATTCCCCATGCTCTTCTGAATCTCTCCAACCTCTAGAGGTTCTCTGTCAATGTATGACTGCAGCCATTGTTGTATTATCTTTGGCAAGATTTTACTTGCATGCGATTTTAATGATATTGTCCTATGATTTATGCATTCTGTTGGGTCACCTCTTTTTGGAATGGGCACAAATATGGATGTTTTCCAGTCAGGTGCCCAAGCTTCTAAATTTCTTGGCCTAAGACCTGACCTTTTAGGAACTCATTATTCCAATCAAACAACATTCAATAAGGAAAAACACACACACATAAAAACCCCACTATAGAACATAATATAATGAATCCTAATACATATGGCTCCAAAGAAATAAAAAGGTAAAAAATTATTTGTAAAAAAACACAGATATTTGATAATTATCCTTGTGATAATAATAATAATAATAACAAATACAATGTTGTTGTTGTTGTTAAGTGCCTGTAAGTCATAGATGCCATTCACGTTATTTCTTAAAGTCTTCCAGACGTGGGTGAAATATAATTTAGCACTCTATAAAAATATAATCAGAGTTCGTGCCAGCGGGACTCATTTATTCACTGGTAACAATCTGAAGATTTAAGCCAACTACATGCTTGCTTTCACACTTCTACCCAATATACGTTCAAGTGCAATTTTAATTGAAACTGATCTTCCACTTCAGATTTTAAATTAATTCTTTTTTGGAGTGCTTCATGCTCCAAACACCCTTGCCTTGCAAAACCCCCCATGTCATTAATGGAGGAAATAGAACACTTTTCCCAAGCTTGCAGGTATTGATTACCTATTCTCACATCAAAGCACCACTGCAATTCCACACTGTATAAATCTCTTCTATGTTAAGACACTTTATAAAGGACTGAGAATTCTATCATTAATCATTTGCAGTTGCCCAATTCTCACAGTATTGAATGCTTTGTTTTTCAGAACTTTGAATAAATGCTTTTAAGTAAAAAACATGACACTAAATAAAGACTGTGTTTAACTTAAGCCTACTTTTAGGGGGAAAAACAATCACCAAGAAGCCTTCCTCTCTCAGGTATGACAATACCCATCTGAAATAAGAAAGAGAAAGCCATGTGCCTGTTAGTTTTCTTTTACTGATCCTTTCTTCAAAGAAGGAGGATGGTTTTCCAGTTTGGTAGCTGATAAACCATTCTGAACAGCTCACAGACTCTGACACAACAACCTACTATATACAAGTTTTTTTGCAAATGAGAGAGGAGAGGATTCATAGGGACTACAGACATTCTGCACTGTCAAATATACTTTCCCATTGTCACTTGTGAAACAACAGTGAATAATTGTTATCAGGACTGATTGTGAGGGTTGGAAATGTAAAGGTAGACGTTTTATAGCAAGGAAGGGAGTGATTAACTCTCCAGTCTAGGAGTGGAGGTCTCTAGGACCATCAACGGAGAAGAGGCGAGAGTGGGACCCTACCCAGAGAAGCAGAGAGAAGGATTAATGTTTGTCCCGAGATGGAGGCAGAGATGATGACATGGAGTGATGAAGCAGCTGGGGACTTTGGATCCAGAGAGAGAGAGGGACTGTGTGCTGAAGACTGGGGGTTTGTGGGGAGGAGGAGTGTAGGGGGAGGGTTTGTAGGGTATACCCTTTGGTCGGTTGATGATGCATGGAGGGGACTGGAACCATGGCAATGAAATGATATACGATAGAGTGAATGTAAAGTTAATGTTCTCTCATGTAAACTATCATATAATTCACAATAAAACATTTAAAAATAAAAACAACTTTTCCATTTAACTGTTAGGAGTCTGGTAGTCATTAGTTTCTGGTACAGACATATGGACAGCCTGTAAGTGCAAAGGCTTCTGTAAGATT